TGGCAGCAGGGGCTGTGCTGGCCGCAGGTTTGTACGGCCAGGGCAGGCTGAGCCAGGGTGGGAGGAAGAAATAGGCCAGTGGCTGGAACATGCAGAGCGAGGACCTGTAGAAGTCTGGGACCATCGAGGTCCAGGGCAGCTTTGGCAACTGGGCACTTCTGGGATGGGGGATCTCTTCGTTGCTCATGACACCCATCTTTGTGATTGTCTCTTTCAGGCTCATCTCTCTCACACAAAGATGTCTTGCTACGACCTGTGCCCACCAAAAACCAGCGTTGCCATCCCCCAGCCCATCGCTGAGAGCTGCAATGAGCTGTGTGCCCGCCAGTGCCCTGACTCGTCAGCCTTCATCCAGCCGCCACCCGTGGTGGTCACCTTCCCCGGCCCCATCCTCAGCTCCTTCCCCCAGCAGGCCGTGGTGGGCTCCTCCGGAGCACCCGCCTTTGGGGGCTCCCTGGGGCTGGGGGGCCTGTACGGTGCCGGGGCCACGCAGGGCTCGGGGGGCCTCTGCACCTTTGGCAGAGCCTACGCTTCTCCTGCCTGCAGCCCTTGCGTGGTGCCCCGCTACAGCAAGAAGCTGTGGGACACCTGTGGGCCCTGCTAGACCCACACACAGAGCTGCATCTCAATTGCCAAGTTCTTGGTAGTTGGAATCCTGCATTGAGTTGGCATCTGGAGTCAAATGCATTGCTCTTCCTCTCCCTGCATGCATAAACTCTCTGAGTCTGGCCCACCATATCTGTGATAGTGTCTCCTGCCCCTCTGGGCACAATAAAGGTTTCCTGCATCCAAGTCATGTCTCTCTCTCTTCTTGTCCAAAATTTGGTACCCAACAGCTGTAGTGTAAATTATGATCTCTACATAGTTTGTGGTGGACTATCATGCATCTTGCCTTACCTTTGAAAGAAGAGGTGCTTCCTCGTTTCTCCTTTTCTAGCTGCAGACAAGCGGTTGGCAGTTCAGAGATAATCTTCTTCCTGTCAGGCAGAGGAATGATTCAGTTACGGAAGTGCAGCGATGAACTGCGAGCAGGTAGTAGCATTACAAAGGCCAGGCAAGGAGAGAGGGGACTGTGTTCTGCACTCCTCTTAAACGCATTAATTTGCACAGGTACTGATTGGCTTGGCCCTGCTTCGGGGATTGGTCTGATATTTGGAGTTGTGGGGAGTCTCTTAAGGGGCTATCTCCATAGCACTCCCCCTCTACCACAAAGATCAACTAACTTGAGATTAGTGCCATTCCTATTTTCACAGAATCACAGAACCCCAGACCATGAGGGATAGGAAGGGACCTCCAAAGCTCATCCAGTCCAATCCCCCTGCCGGAGCAGGAACACCCAGATGAGGTTACACAGGAAGGCGTCCAGGCGGGTTTTGAATGTCTGCAGAGAAGGAGACTCCACAACCTCTCTGGGCAGCCTGGGCCAGGGCTCTGTCACCCTCACTGAGAAGAAGTTTCTTCTCCAATTGAAGTGGAACCTCCTGTGTTCCAGTTTGTGTCCGTTACCCCTTGTCTTATCATTGTTTGTCACCAAGAAGAGCCTGGCTCCATCCTCGTGACGCTCACCCTTTATATATTTCTAAACATGAATGAGGTCTCCCCTCAGTCTCCTCTTCTGCAAACTAAAGAGCCCCAGCTCCCTCAGCCGCTCCTCAGAAGGGAGATGCTCCACTCCCTCCATCATCTTTGTAGCCCTGTGCTGGACTCTCTCCAGCAGTTTCTGTCCTTCTTGAACTGAGGGCCCAGAACTGGATGCAATATTCCAGATGCGGTCTCTTGAGTGCATTCTCTGGAGTGAATTTTGTGGATTCACTCCAGAGAATGCAATCTCCCTGTGCCTTCCCATCACCTCTTTGGGGCCACTCAGAGAATTTTTCCTCTTCTGTCACTTCTTTCTGGTTATAACCTGTGTTACACCACGTCTTTCCTCCATAGTCAGCACGCTTTGCACTGTGTTACTGAAGATCAGACCCTTACTGTTACTCCCATCAGTTAAGCCGTCTTGTTTTTCCAGTCCTAAAGTCTGATTCCCTCCTGTTTAATGTCACTCAGCTTTATATTATCAGCACACAAAACAGAGTGCTCCCAAATTACGTGCTAACACTATTAACGTAAAAAATAAGAGGTTTTCTGGGACTGTTCCTTGAGTAACAATGCAGTGAAGTCCCTCCATTTCTAGAACTCCAATATAACATTAGACACTGACAGAAAAGGTATCTCTATCCACTGTTTTGCAATCAGACATGAGCTCACCCTGAACAAGCATCCAGCCCAAATAGAAGCTGTGTAATCGTGTCAGCTGGGTGCTAATAGCTCTCACCAATCTTGTTATCTTGGGCTAGGCACTTGCTGCCTGACACAATCCACTTCTAATTGGGTGCTGGCTGGTACCTGCCTGGCACTGCCTCATCAGGAGCCGCTGGAAGAGTTGGCAGCAGGAGCTCAGTTGCTCACATACGATTTATGCTAAAGCACCTCTTAGAGGCTGTGCATGAGAACCAGGATCCTGGTGTTGAGCAGAAGAGAAATGGAAAGGAAAGCAGGCACCCGTGTTTTGTAAATTCATCCTAGGAACTGCCCTGGGCTGAACCAGCTGGGAGGAAAAAGGACTTTGTTCAGCAGAAAGGAGGTACCTGAGCCAAGGAGATGCATGGCTGGAGCAGCACAAGGCAGGAGGTTGGTTGTTGAGGTCCTGGGAATTCATGGCAACAGCATCCTTTCCTCAAGCCATGTGAGAAGGGAGAAAGCAGCAGGGAGAGAGCTATTTCCTTAAACCAACAAGGCAGGAGCCTTTCCTCTCCACCAGTGCATCAGCTCATATTCTTTTGACTTCACCCAGATGACTTAGGCTCAGCTAAAACTTCCCTGAGGCAACTGTTATCACAGAAGTGATTAACCCAAAAAGGAGAGGTAGTGCTTGATCTTTGCTCATCAGATACGCATCTTAAAAATAGCTCCCCATTGTTTACCTTCCTCCTATTGCTCCTTTCCAGAAGCTGCTTTGACAGAACTTCGGGCCACATATTTTTACTATGTCCTTGAACACAGTTTGATGAATTCTAGGACACCATTTGGGAAGATGTAAAATTAAAAAGAATTCCAGCACTGAATTAACTAGTGGAAAAACTTGGACTAACTCCTTGAAGCCTGATAGCTACAATAATTAGTGTAGGGGAGACCTCAGATGATCATTTCAGCTCAGTAGCAATGAAAGCCTGCACAGAGAGGTTTCTTGGCAGCAGGACCATGCGTGGCCAGGACCTTGGGGTCTCCCAAAAGGCAGCTCGACCCAGCTCTGATGGGGCTGAGGGACCACCCTAACCCAGCCAATAGTGTCCATATGCAGGGTGAGGGAGGCCTGCAACCCACACAGGGCTCTGAAAGGAAAGGCAGAGAGGCAGGCGTTGGATGCAGGCTTTTTATTGCAAGGACAGGAAAACATCCACTGGAGAAAGACACGTAAGGCAAAGGCAGGCAGGTTGTTCCTCTGGGCTTCAGGAGAGTTGTTTCTTCAGGCTTCTCCCAGAAGGTGACCGTTTCAGGGAGGAGCAAGTGCCCTCTGGGATGATGGTGGAGTTACACATTTAGCCATTGGCAAGGGCAAGGAAGAGATGAAACAAATGAAGAAGGGAATGAGAAGTGTAATTTATGGAGCTTTTCCGACTCCCCCATATTAAGTGGAAGTCTTTGATGCTGTGGCCCTTGCTCAGAAGCTCAGTTGAGGGTCAAAATTGTAGCACTTAGACAGGGAATGCTTCTGCAGGATTTAGCAGGGCCCGCAGATGCCGCGGCTGTACCTGCCGTACCGGTAGGAGGAAGGGATGCA